ATGTCCTTATAATTGAAACAGCAATAGAACAATTTAATGCAACAAATACAACTATTGTAGTTGGTGAAGATGTTGACTTATTAATACTACTCACTGCAAGGACTCCAATTGATAAAATTATATACTTTTTAAAACCTGGAAAGGCTCAACAGCGAACAGAAATATATTCTTCAAAAAGTTTATCTGCTTATCCAAAATGCCAAAACCATATCTTATTTTTACATGCGATAACCAGCTGCGATACGACATCAGCAATGTTCAGAAGGGGTAAAACATCAGTATTAAAATTATTTGGAAAAAAAAGATTTCATTGATTGCAGAAATTTATTCTTCACCTCAAACAATAATCACAAAAGGAATTCGCTTTCTCCTTGCTGTTAAGGAGCTCCAAAATAATTGATTGTACAGATAAATATAAATATTTAACTTCTGTAAAAAATATACGAAACAAGAAACAAGTACAACTATCTTGTCTTCCTCCAACATCGGCTTCTGCTAATCAAGACTTGTATCGAGTATACTATCAAGTTCAGACATGGCTAGGCAATCAACTGAACCCAGAAGACTGGGGTTGGAAATTAACAGATAATACACTGGAACCGATTCAAACTTTACTTCCACCTGCTCTGGAAAAACTCCTAAACACTATTTTTTGCAATTGCAAAAAAGGTTGTAGTGCTAAATGTGTCTGTAGAAGAGTAGGGTTACTGTGTTCTCCAGCGTGTACTAATTGCCAAAGCCAGTCTTGCTCAAATGTCCAATTGAATACAACAGACGAAGATTCATGTGATTTCAATGAAGAGACAGCTGATTCATCTTCATTTGAATAATTTATGAACATCCAGCAAGAAGAAGAGGAACAAGAAGAAGAAGAAATCGAAGAAGACATGACTGTCGACTTTGAAGAGTATGAATCAGCTTAAAATATCAAAAAAATCAGAACAACAGTTAAAGTCAATAACCAATATCAATATCAATAATCATCATACAGTTAAAAGAGTATTGTATTGAATAACATTTTTAGCACACATGGGATCGATGGGGACTTTTGACACTTTATTTCTAATGGTGTACCCAAGGTCTCCATCAAAATTTAGCTCTGTCGGAATTTTCGTTATTTGAAATGCCTATTTTGACCGGGCTACTATTGGAGATATTTAACTGTTTTGTTCTCTGCTTAAAAATTCCAAAAGAAGATATGATGAAGGAAAGGAAAAGAGAAAGATATTAATCTATCAAAAGTACTCGAAGTTGTATTTTGAAAGAAATATTATAAAAAGAATTTAAAATTAACTTTATTAATCTTTTTTTTCCTTTTCTTTATACTTTCAGGCCCTTGCTGGTCTTGCATTTATTGGAATTGCCCCTGCGAAGCTGTACGGTGCAACACTTTTGGGCACACCGGCCATGAATTGATAATGACAATTCAGATTTATTATTTTATCCTCAATTTCGATTCCTATGCAGAATTCATTCACTTTCTTTGCACATATCTTGTTTATCTGAAAAATATCAGATACCAAGAAAATAGTTTTCATAAAATAAATGTGGCACTTACTGCTTAATAGAAAAAAAATTGTATGGACTTACATTTTCAGTGAAGGAGATGGTATTATTCTGAGTGTTAAACTGAGGCGTTAGAACTTGGAAACAACCAATCTTCTCTGCTCCTGGGCAATCAACTACTATAGTGTCAAAAGTCTCAGTTGTGAATCCTAAACATTTACCATAGTAAGCTAGTTCCGTCACTACGTAGGACGTCGTTGGTCCTGTAGCATTAGCTGTGGTTACATCAAGTCGTTGCCCTGGGTAAAATCCATAGTTACCTTTTTCGAACCACTTCAAAAGTACTTCTGACATGGTGCATTCTTTGTCGCCTGTAAAAGGAACAATTTGTAAGGAATTAAAAGAAATGTGCAGTAGTTGAAAATATGCAGTAATAATATGTACAGGGTGTCTCAAACTCGATAGAATGGGCCTACTGTGAGGATACAAAAAATTTAAATACAATTTGGACAAGTGGTTTTAAATGGAATGAGGTAATATCCATTTTAAATCGAAAGTATTATCTTTAGGATTTGACAGAAACTAATGACGTCGTCAATTATATTTTTTCCAGAAATATACCCAAATTTTTTTCCTGTTAAAAAGCTCTCTTTTTTTTCAAATAATTTTCTATTAGAGAAATTTTTCTGAATTATTTCGTTTAGAAATTATAAGCAATATCGTCCTAAAGAGTCTCAAAAGAAATACCACCTAAAAATCACATTAGTGGTGGAACGATCAAGTAGTCGTTGGAATACAATAGAATGTTCGTTGTGTAAAGTGCATAAATGTCACAAAATACTTGCCATTACTCAATACGAACGTATAACTTTTGTACTTACAAAATGTGTTCTCATTCAGAAAATGTTGATATGTTGCTAATTTATGGCAAGTCGAAAAAAATTCAAGAAGAGCTGTAGAGTTATATCGAGAAAGATATCCAGAGCGCCTCATTCCTGATCATAGAACCTTTACAAGATTGAAGACGACCTTGCGACGAAATGGAGATGCATTTTCTGTTCGGAAAGATCAAGTAATTGACCGAAGGGTACCCAAGTAGCATAAATAAGTTTATAATAGCTTTAAGAATATCTATACAGGGTAGCCCATCGAAAACGTACCGCATGGCATTACAGGGTAGTAATGAACTTTTCGGCAAAATCCAAAAACAGGTAAAGTTTGCTTCTGAGGGGGGCAACTTTTGCCGCAAAATGCATAGCAAAATCTTCAACCCCCTAAGTGGGGGTGCCATCCCCCAAATTTTTTTAAACGGGAATGGGGGTCAAGTGGGTGGTCATTAGAAAGGGCTTTTAATTCTCTATACATCGATTCTTACTTTTTGAAAATCGATCCATTATTTTAGAAAATATGCAGCTTTGAAAATACGAACAATATTTTTGACGAGAAATGCGAAAATCGATTTAATTTTACTTCAAAACTTACGGTATTAGCTTGGTAAATTCCTTCAAAAGAATTCGCTGTTTTTTTTTCTGATTTGCGAATTCTTTAGCCTGATTTTGGTGAGCAAAAAATTGTCCGCTTTTTGTTTCGTATTTAGATAGGCCACAAGAAGTTGCTAGATAACTGTCTTGTGACTTGTAGTTGAAGAGTACCAATACTGCCGAGTCTTTTAAATTGATTAATTATGGTGTACTCAATTCCAGAAAGAGTAGAAATTATTGAGCTTTTTTTCAAAAACAATGAATGCGGAAATCGGGTCGCCGAACTGTTCAACCAACGGCATCCTGAGAAACATGCGTCTGGAAAAATTGTTCGCGAATTGGTGGCCAAATTTCGCGAAACTGGCTCCGTTCATAACAAAAAGAGGCAGGTTGAAAATCCGGTACTAAATGAACCTACGGAAATAGCGGTATTGGGGCAAGTGGCAATGGATAGTACGCTGAGTACAATGCAATTGGCTACTGCGACAGGAGTGAGTCGTACAAGTGTCCAACGAATATTAAAAAAATACAAATTCCATCCTTATAAGATTCGGCTAGTGCAAGAGCTAAATGAAGACGATTTTGATCGTCGTTTGCAATTTTGCGAAATAATGACTGAACGAGCGATAAACGATAATTTCCTCTTTAATGTGTGTTTTTCGGACGAGTGTACGTTCTTCTTGAATGGTTTAGTGAATCGCCATAATTGTCGTTACTGGGCTGATACCAATCCAAGGATTTTCCATGAGACACACTCCCAACACCCCCAGAAGTTGAATGTATGGGCAGGTATTTTTGGAAATTCCATTGTAGGTCCTTTTTTCCTTCCTGGAAATTTGACAGGCGATATGTACTTGGATTTACTACAAAATGTCATCGACCCAGCTCTAACAAATATCATAGAGGACGACCCTGCTTACAATGAACACGAACTGATTTTCCAGCAAGACGGAGCTCCTCCACATTACTCGCTCAATGTGCGCAATTACCTAAATGAGACGTTTCCAGGACGCTGGATAGGACGAAGAGGTGCAATTGAGTGGCCCCCTCGGTCACCCGACTTAAATCCTTTAGATTTCTTTCTCTGGGGGCACATTAAAAGCAAAGTTTACAGCACTCCACCTGATACCTTGGAAGATCTGCGAGGACGAATCATTAATGTATGTCGCGAAGTAACACCGCAAGTGCTCCAGAATGTTCGACAACGGTTTGAAGACAACCTGTATCATTGTATGCAAGTTGGCGGACAACATTTTCAGCATTTACTTGACTAATACCGTAAGTTTTGAAGTAAAATTAAATCGATTTTCGCATTTCTCGTCAAAAATATTGTTCGTATTTTCAAAGCTGCATATTTTCTAAAATAATGAATCGATTTTCAAAAAGTAAGAATCGATGTATAGAGAATTAAAAGCCCTTTCTAATGACCCCCCACTTGACCCCCATTCCCATTTGAAAAAATTTAGGGGATAGCACCCCCACTTAGGGGGTTGAAGATTTTGGTATGCTTTTTGAGCCAAAAGTTGTCCCCCTCAGAAACAAATTTGACCTGTTTTTGGATTTTGCCGAAAAGTTCTTTACTACCCTGTAATGCCTTGCGGTACGTTTTCGATGGGCTACCCTGTATAACCAATCTTCCGCAGGTAAAAGCTTTATTAAAAGATGTTGAGAACAGTTATTCAGTATTAAATAAGCATTTATAAATCCGAAATAGGCGCAGCTTATAAAACCATTTTATAAAAGCTGTGCATACAATATTTATTCCACTAATTAGTGTTCTGTCATTGCATTCTTACAGCATTTGTAAAATATACTATAAAATTTTTATACAGAAAACATTGGCTTATAAATCAAATTTGCTAATATAATTGTCTCCAAACAAAAGGTTTATACATGTTTTATAAAAGCTATTTTTCGCAACTCGAACGCGATGAATGTTGTATTAATGTCTCCAATATACAGTACAACAAAACTTTTTAGCTTTATAATTATGCGTTTCTATACTAAATCGTTTTATTAATAATAAAACTAAAAGCTTTGGGCTATTGCTGATTGTCATCCGTATAAGATAGGTACTCAAGAGTTAATGTTTACCGATATACACAACAAAATTAAATATGCATCTAGAAAATAAAAAACTACTTGCAACGAAAAATTTATTGATGAAATATATCATGATACCTTTAAAAAAACTAAGCGCCTTTAAAATTAAGCAGATTTGACAATCGTCTGTAATAATTTTTGAAAAATGATATCACAATTTTCGAGTCAGCCGCTTATTGGTCATAAACGACGAATAAATTCTAGAAGAGACGTATGTCTACAGATGAAATCATTATCAGTTAGTGTTAATTGTAATTAATAATTAATGAAATTATAATCAGTAAACAGTATTACAGTACTTTTACTGTTGTTGTTTGCAGCACAAAATAATTTTGCAGTGACTGGAAAAGCAACTTATCGTATACTTAAACAAACTCTCATCTATTTTAATGAAATTTGGCAGGTTTGTTTGAAATAATAAAGGGCTGATTTGAACGTAATAATATGATTAAAGTGATTGATTCTAGTATCTTCCTGAAGGGTAATTAAAAAATCCTAGGACATAACGCATAGTAGGTACATTTTAGAAAACAACATGCAGTTTTATCGTCATAATGGTTGTAATAGTATATTAACACTAAAACTTTCTAATTTACAGATTTTTTAGGTTAGGGACAATGCCTTCGAAAGCTTTACTATACAGTAGTTTTATAGTACAATATATATTGCTGCATTTCTCAAAAATAGCTTTTTCGTTGAGAAGAAACTACTTAAACTATTCTGCTTACAGCTGTAATAGATCCCTTTTACATAATATTTTTTAAAGCTTGTGATATTATTTAACTTAAAAAGCTAAAATTATTTATAATTTAGTCATATAGTCTATTTAAATGATAATGTTATAACATTAATAGTGCAATCAATATACTGTATTAAAGCTTTAAAAATTGACCGGTAAGTGTTTATAAGATTATAAAAAACAAGGAAGCAGCTATTACACTTTAAACTTTTATAGAAGTTTCATTTATCACGTTTATAAGACTAACAAAGCCTTTATAAAATTGTATAATTTTACTATTAGAATATTATAACAGCTTTGTATATACCAAAATTGCTATAGGAGCAAATTAACACCTTATTAAGGCATTAAAAATCTAAAAAGATACATTTGTTCCTATTAAAAATACAGCTATTTATATAGCTGTATTTAGTTGCTTTTAGCTATACTATTTTAAAAAATCGTGCAACTTTTGTATTTTACATTTTTTTATAACTCTTTAAACAAAAAAGTTAAAAGGGGGGGGCAAAATATAGTGAATCACCCTGTACAGTTTTGCAGAGATACATGCATATATCAATAAATGTATCGTAGATGAATTTCCTGATAGCGATCCCAGCGATACAATCATAAGAGTCGAGCACAATTTTTTTGAAGTTTTGTGGCAGATACATATTTATTGATTTCGAGAGATATTTTTTCTAGATAATTATTATTGACTAGCTTACCTACGTAGTTATTTTTTCGGGTACATACATATATTTGCTGTCAAAGAGTATATATACTTCATTTGATAAGAATTACAAAGTTTTTTGAAAAGATTTCATTTTCCCTTCATATAGCTTTAAAATAAAATAAGCAGACATAAAATATGTAGGTGTAGAGTGAAGTAGTACCTTTTTTACATGTATTTAGATTATGGTTGGTTTAATATGTTGAAATAAATAATAATCAGGAAAATAATATTTATAAACTTTTGGAAAAAGACAAACAACTATGAAATAAGACAAATAAAACGTACCTATATAAATGGTCATATCAAGATCAGACTAAATATTAAATAATTAATAAATATTTGTTTTACATACCTATTTACTTCTTTCTTTCAGAATGAGATTCTCTATTAAGAAAAAAATGCATGCAGCAGTATAAAAATTAATTTTAAAATGATTTCCTTCATTCAGTTGTTAAATTTATTTTCGTGGTTAGTAATATACAAATTAAAATATGTCACAATGAAATAATTTCAAACAATATCGTAGTATCATACTTACCATGACTACACCTGAGGTACAAAACCAATATTAATAAACTTATATTTGAAAACATTATGGAAGATTTTACAATGTTAATAACCAATAAGAAATAAAGAATTACAGTGAATCAACTTAAAACAACTCAGAAAACACAAGAAATACCCTTTTTAAGCATTAACACAGCAACATCTACTGAGGAAGTCGTCTAACGATATCTGTGTATTTTCAATTTGTTTACGCTCTTTGTGATTTTTATCTGTTTACTAACGAGTTTTGCTGATACCAAGAAATAACCATTTCTCATAAATGGCATTAAAGACAATTAAATGCAAATTACGTAACAGAGTAAATTGTTTGTAAATTTTTTATTATATTTTAGTTGTTGTTTTATAGAAGTAACATCAATTAATAGCAATTTTTTCCAACACTACAGGTTTCGGTATGCCAAAAATTAAGGTAAATGATTAAGAAATTTGGATGTCTGTCTGCAAACATCTTAACTGTTATTGCTACTTGATCCTACTGGAGCAGAGTGACCTACTACTCGACTAATACCTTCTCACGAATAAACTTTTTACTAGGTACTGGAGTATAATTCAATGCCTGTCAGGGCATATAGCCCGTGGAGTAGTTGTTTTCCCATTTAGTAACAATGACATTTAAAATGTTACATATGACGTATGATATTTAACGTATGCTACTGTTGTTAGACAGCTTTAATTCTGTTGCTTTCTGCTATAAACAATCCAAATGAAAAAATGTCGAAGGAAAGGAAAAAATAGTACTCGTACTTGTAACTTTAGAGAAAAAAAAATATAAAACGAATTTAAAATTAACTTTTTTTTTCTGTACACCTTCATTCCCTTGATGGTTCTTTATTTAATGGAATTGCCCCTGTGAGACTTTGCCCTCCGCTAACTTGGAACATCCCCTCCTCATATTGAAAATTGCAATTCAGATTTATTATTTTATCCTCAATTTCGATTCCTATGCAGAATTCATTCACTTTCTTTGCACATATCTTGTTTACCTGAAAAATATCAGATACCAAGAAAATAAGTTTCATAAAATAAATGTGGCACTCATTGCTTAATAGAAGAAAAATTGTATGGACTTACATTTTCAGTGAAGGAGATGGTATTATCCTGAGTGTTAAACTGAGGCGTTAAAACTTGGAAGCAACCAATCTTCTCCGCTCCTGGGCAATCAACTACTATAGTGTCAAAAGTCTCAGTTGTGAATCCTAAACATTTACCATAGTAAGCTAGTTCCGTCACTACGTAGTACGTCGATGGTCCTGCAGCATTAGCTGTGGTTACCTCAAGTCGTTGCCCTGGGTAAAATCCATAGTGACCTTTTTTTTTTATTATTAATCTTTTTTATTGTTAAAATTGGACATGCATTGAAACAAAAAATGTCATTTTCGTTTTTCTTTTTAATTTGCTTTAAATTAAACTAGTTACAATTTCATTTTTTTGTAGCCTGAGGGTTTTTTTCTTTAATTATCTACTTTTAATTAATTATCTATTTAATTCTCGAAAGAGTTACTATTTAATTCTCGAAAGGGAGTTTATTATCATTAACGCTATACTTTAATTAATACGTGGGAACTTAGAAATGTTGTAGGTTCAGAGAATCAATTCCAAGCACTTACCATTCATCGCTTACGTGGAATATAATCCAGTGGCTGACTATACAGGGTGACAGTGAAATTGGAGAAACAAAAGGAAACACCAAAACTTCCAGGAAGGGTTTTATTAACAATAAACAAAACAAACAAACAAAATAACAACACAACGACTCGAACAGCATTATTAATGAATTGATTCAACCGCGACAGCGTACCGAGATTCAGGGAATGCTCGCTTCATACAAAATTTAGAAAAACTCTCAAAATTAATTAATTAGCCCGAGACTTTATAAGTTAATAATTAGTCTGCTCAATGTGAAACTTAAGAACGAACTGCCTTTTTCGAGATCTCTCCTGAATTCCACACTTCGCTTTGACACACCCATTTCTTGGGTCCAGAAGTTTCGGTTCTTATCTTATTGGCGGAGACCTGAATATCGGAACGCTTGGATAACTATAATAATAATTACCTAACTGACTTGACTTTACGTTTATAACAATAATTCTGAAGCTAAACTTACTTATAATTAACCTTAGCCTTCCTTTAATGACTCCGCGAATTACGGGACGGATTAGTCGATCTCAATCAATCTACTCTTATAGCTTGGAAAATCCGCCGAAAAACCAGCTATGATCTGTTACCTTCTTTTCCAATTATTATTTCAGTTTAACAATTTAATTTAAGTCTATTTTTTGGAACCTCTACGTCTTTCTCGCGGTTTCGCGTGTTGTTACAAAGATGGGGTTCGACGCGGCGTCTCCCAGACGCACCAGATGACTACCATATGGCCCTGACTCTAAGCGAACTTGTTACAAATATTGATAAATTTCGTGAAGCCTTCCCCGAAGGACGGTCTTGTCGACCTACTACTTGAAAGCCATCAACTTTCGATAATTTGTGTTGACAAGAGTATTTTACTTTTTGCCCATCCGTTTTGGGAACTAGTAAATAAATGACTGCGCGTCCCGGCTTTTGTTACATTTTAATATCTTGTAGTATGACGTATTTTTTATTAAAAAACCTCACGACTTACTCTTTCCGTTTTAAAATTTAAAATTATAACTGCTCACGGGAAAATCCCAATTACAGAGCCAAGAAAAACAAAAAAAAATGTGTGATTACAAAATACTTGAAAGTACATAGAAAATACTACAATATATGACAAACAATAAAACATTTAAACAAAGTTATCCTAAAAATGATTCGACATATGCGAAATTTCGGCACATTACATATTATAAAGGAGAATGGTACAACACACTGGTTCTAACAGTTCTCAGATAAAATCTCTCGGTAGTGCAAGCTCTATGGTCATTGAAATTAAATACACAATTTACACAATAATTCTGAACAATCAATATTAGCACCAAATTCAAGAGGCTATAACGCGGGCGTAATAACGCCGTCATTAAAAAATTTGTAAAATCCCCGAGATTTGAGAATTACAAACTCTAAAATTTTCTTGACTTCTGAAATTATTTTATTTGTTCGAAAGGCGAAATTCAACACAATAATCAAAATCTAAAATCAAAATAATCTAATAGCACTACGATTTGAATAAGACAGCACAGTGCACCAAGATTTTTCACTTCCCTACATAATGCTAGAGGTCCCTAATTTAAAGAATAACAAAAAAATAGTTAAAAAATTAAAATCAAGATTTTGCATTTATTAATAAAACACGCCCAAGCCAGACATCTTTAAAAACTCTTGAAGTCTAACATAAACATCATCAGTCGTCAAAAAAGAAGAGATGGAAAGAGTTAAGAAATGTAAACAAGTCGTTTAAGAATAAGAAGTAGACCTAAATTAGCGCCCTGAGGCACATCGGAGGTCAACAAAAATGCACACAGCAGTATAAAAATGAATATTTGAAGGATTTGCTTCATTAATTTGTAAATTTATTTTCGTGGTTAGTAAAATAGAAATCAAAGTATGTCCCAATTAAATAATATCAAACAATAGGGTAGAAGATACTTACCATAACTATACGCGGGGAACAAAAATAATATTAATAAACTTATATTTGCATAGTGGAAGATTTTTCGAGATTAATAACTAATAAGAAATAACGGATTTCACTGAATCCACTAAAAAGGACTCAGAGGATACAAGAGTTACGTCTTTTATATGCTATGTACATCTACTGATAAGTCATTTAACGATATCTGTGTAATTTCAATTTGTTTACGCTCTTTGTGATTTTTATATGTTTACTGACGGGTTTTGCTAATACCAAGAAGTAACTATTTCTCGCAAATTACATTAATGATAATTAGATGCTAATTAAGCAATAGAGTAAATTTGAAATTTTAAATTGTATTTTAGTTGTCGATGTTTTATTTAGAAATATATTATTTCTAATAGTAATTTTTCAACAATCCAAGGTACGGCATGCCAAAGGTGAAGGTAAACGATTTAGAAATTTGCATGTCTATTTATAGACATATTTTCAGTCCGGGTGAAACAAAACATTTACAACATGTCACTTATTATAATTATGTCATATCACTTTCTAAATTGTAGGTGCTATGAAATCATGACTAGGCCAATACCTTCTGATAAATACTAGGTACTTGGATATAATCTAATGTCTTTCAGGGTATATAGTTGTTTCTCCAATTAGTAACAATGACATTTAGAATAATGACGTATGCTATATAGGTTACATCTCACCCATATTTAAAACATCTTTCTAACAGCTCTATAGCTAAATCGTTTATCGTTCATCTCACCTCCAGCATGACAAGAAGTAATAAGAAGTTCGTAACCGGTTTGTCTGGTGACTCTCTTGGTAAATGGTCTTTGTCACTGACTTTTAGTATTCTGCTGGTTCCTCACAGGAGAGTAGCAATTGACACAGTTATTTACACGCCGATATTTCAAAACAATCTGTTAGGCCATTCTGGAAATGTTAAGAAAATACAATTTTTATGAACATTTCGTTTTGTCGAGAAGTTTCGGTTAAATTTTTTACACCTAATTATGGTGCAATGCGCAAAAAGTGTTGGTAATTTTTTAATTTGAGTGTGTTCATTAAAGGTTCTGCATACCTAGGACAATTTTAGTGAAAATGCAGGCATAGCAGAGAAATTTAATATTAGCAATAAAAAAATAATTTTAAAGGTCTATTTTAGATCATTGAAGTTATACATTTTTATATTTGTCGTCACTTAGTATTATACAGGGTGTTCAAAAAACTGCTGAATACTTCTCTCAACTTTAAACAGCAATAACTTGGTTATTTTAAATGGAACACCCAGTATATTTTTACTTTGGGAGTTAGAAAATTTAAAACTGTTTCAAACTGTGTATAGGTTCCCTATACCTATCTCTAACGGTATTGGAGATATTTGTGCCGTTTCGTTTTTTATCGATTTTTTTTGTAAGATGTATCCACGAGTCTTTATCGAAGTCTTTACTGAATTGGTTTGGATTCTTCTTGACGACGTCTCTTTAAATAAAAGGAGAAAAATGTGAATGCAATTAGATGAATTACCTACACATTTTTCATATTCAGTGAGAAATTATATAAATTAATTAATAATTAATTAAATTAAGTAATAAATGAGTAGGTAGGAATGGTCCATGTCAGTGGCTACCACAGGTGTTCAAACCTCCCGTAACAGACTTCTTTGGTTCGGGCTATAAAAAAATCTTGTACATAGTGTTCCACCTACTACTTGCGATGATGTGAAGGGAAGGATTAGAGATGCATTTGCCACAATCACCCCAAAAATTCTAAGGAATGTGAGAATATCATATGAAGATAGAATAAGATGCTGTATTCAAGAGAATGGTTATCAATTCGAACATCTATTAAAATTTTTCTTTGTTTCTTCTAAAAGTAAAATTTTCTTTAATAAATATTTTTCATGTTCATAAATAATTCAGTTACTTACTACAAACATATTTATACAAAATTAATAACTTTTTATAATTATTCGGCTTATAAAATAATATTTTTTATTACAAAACTTTTTTGAATATTATCATGATAATGATAAAAGGAAATTTTACTTTTAGGAGAAACAAAGAAAAATTTTAATTGATGTCCGAATTGATAACCATTCTCTTGAATACAGCATCTTATTCTATCTTCAAATGATATTCTCACGCAAATGCATATCTAATCCTTCCCTTTAATATCATCGCAAGTAGTAGGTGGAACATTTTGTACAAGATTTTTTATATAGCTCTCAAGAAATAAGTCTATTACGGTGAGATCTGGACTCCTACATGGTCACTGACATGCACCATTCCTACTTATCCATTTGTTATTAAATTTTCGATTTAAATAATTTCTCACTGAATATGAAAAATGAGCAGGTGCGCCATCTAATTGCATCCTCATTTTTCTCAATAGACGTCATCAAGAAGAACCCAAACCAATTCAGTAAATACCTGGATAAAGACACGTGGATACATCTTACAAAAAAATCGATAAAAATGAAACTGCAAAAATATCTCCAATACCGTTAGAGATAGGTATAGGGAACACAGTTTCAAAGAGTTTTAAATTTCCCCAACTCCCAAAGTAAAAATATACTGGGTGTTCCATTTAAAATAACCAAGTTAGTGCTGTTTAAAGTTGAGAGAAAAATTCAGCAGTTTTTTGAACACCCTGTATAAGTGACGACAAATATAACAATTTATAACTTCAAGAATCTAAAATAGACCCTCCAAAGCTGCTTCCTTAAAGTAATTTTTTTATTGCTAATATTAAATTTCTACGCTAAAATTGAAATATCTCACAAACAGTAAGTCCTAGGTATGCAGAACCTTTAATAAAATTCACCTATTTTTTTACGGTGCTTTCAAAAATGCAGTAAAATACAGGGTGTTCCATTTAAAAAAACATAACTTTGATATGGTACGCTTTTCCTGGACACCCTGTATATTTCAAAATATTTTTAAAATATAGCCGTAATCAACCTACACATATCCACCTAAACAGGTTTCTATAACATTTGCCGTTTAGTCACTAGCGACCGAGGCGTTACTGGTGGCCCACCCTGTATACATAATTTCAATAAGTTCAATTTAATTCAAAATTAAGTGT